GTAAGGATGTACATTTGTTAGTTTAACAACCTTTCTACTCCTAGCAGAGGCTGAAATAACAATCTTTAAAAAACTCGAAATTCCAATTTGAAAACTCTAGGAAAAAAGTTGTCAAAGTTGTCAAAATTCTACTGAAGATGTTCCGTTAGATTGGGTTCACTCAGAGATTTAGTCCACGTTTGCAGAGATTAGAATGAAAATCACTTTACCACACGTGATGTGGGAATCGAAGTGTTAGGGGTGATTGGCATTTAATTTCTCTTTACAATATCACCACTGAATCACACATTAATGTCACTAGAATAAAAGAAAGTGATCAACTGAAGCAGCTCTTCTCTTTGTCAGTACCTTAAAAATATATAGAGAACAGTATGGAGAATATGCATACTGATGTTAGGGTGTAAACGATTGAAGGGATTATTGAAACCCATATTTTACAGCAGTTTGGTCATAGTTTGCACTGTTATTTGGACTATGACAGTATTTGTTATACATGAAATGACTTACAATATCATTCACTGCCTAGGAGATATGTTTTGATCAAATTTTCATGATATATTTACGTTTTCGTGAGCAACGAGGAAAAATTTAATCGAAGGAGTTTAACTCATCGGAAACATGAAATTTAACTCGTAAGCAGGTCATTAATTTTTCTCATTAACACCTCAGCTGGCCATATTTTTAATCTACCATTGTAAAAGGATTTTGTTTAAACTCTTTGAATATCTCTTTTACATATTTGCAAATCTATATCTGTTTTGCTGAGATTACACGGCGCTGATTTACGCATAGCTCTTTCGCCTTTTTTTCTGTTCACTCGCTGAAAATTAAACTTAAATTCGAGAAGGTATAAACTATAATTGTAAATCTTATTCAAAGTTTCTCCTGTCGGCTGAATATTGTCATTTCCCAATCCCAATTAATGCCCAATGAATTTTCATTATTCAGTTCCGGCACAATAAGGTCGACTTTTATTTTGTTTACTAATCCAGTCGCCAGTATTTTGAAAGTTGTCACTCAAGATGACGCACGTAACCAAGTAGAGATATTAACTTATACATTCCAAATAAGATAAAATCTTCTTTGTGAATGTTTTACGATCATTTTAAAGTTGATCTGGTACGGAGAAGTTGAGTTGAAAGTCTCCTTTGTAACCGAAGCAAGACTGATTCATCACGATGGGAATCGCTAATCTGATTTTTGTGAGTCTTTTACTGATGGAAGGAGCTTTACTCATCGAGAGCAGTTTAGGTAGGTGGAAAATTATTGGCATGCAATTAAGGATCTTGCTGTAAGCGACTGTACTGAAAAAGATAAAAATGAAATGGGGTATCTTTTGAGTCATACTTTTATGTTTAGAACGTGTTTTGCTCTATTTTAGTCGTGGAGATCCAGGAATTCAGATTTCCCTCATTGTAGTGGAATACACTTCGCCCTGACAATTGCATCGTGAGGATTAAAGTTGACATTACGCATCTAATAGCGCTGAGTTATGGTTATAACAGCAATTTATTGCTTTCATATAGAAAGGCCTTCAGGATGACACAATTCTAGGCCAAAATCGGTTGCCGACAAATTGGCCTTGACGACCACAAATGATCTTTACTGAATTTTTTTTCTTGTTTTGTTTTTTTCAATCTTTGCCGCGAGGTTTGATTGCTGTTTCAAAAACACTGGATTTAATTTTTTGGCACCTTTCCAATAACAGATCAGATATGCCCGCAAATAAAAGAGTTATTAACTGGAAATATATGAAATTATCGAGCGTTTGTAAATAGCACTAACCCACTTTCGAAATATACGAACTCGATTGAGGAAAGCTGGAACGAAAACATGAAATCGAGGCTTATGATTATTTGGGTCTGCGTCTCACTCCTTCCACACCACTATATTTAGTCTGTCTAATGGATCTGAAAAGCTTATTCTGACATTTGGTAGATTATCATGAATATCTGTATTTGTCTTTGATTGGCTGTAGATTCTTACACGCGTTTTGGTTAGAATTTTGTGAACAAAAGTTAAGCTTCTCGTGGATTTTGCCCCACTCCACTTCGGTGCAAAGTTGAATGAATAAAAGAAGATTGCATAGTGACAGGATTAATATCCGTCAGGAAGGTCTTTAGTTCAAAATTGGATGTTCTGTTTACGGGGTTTCTCGACACAATTTTTCCACGGTTGTAGCTTTTTGATGGAATACATCGCAAGCTATGACTCGGTCTTAATTGAAAGTTTTCTACTCGCCCCGGTCTACTCGCCCTACGGGGATTGGGGCGAGGAGACATCAAACACTTCAGACAACTCATTATTTGTCTTCCATTTTTTAGAATGTCAAGACCTTCAGGATGAGGTGTTATGCTCGGAAGAGAAGGAAGCTGGCAACTGTTTGGAACTTCCGTGGAGTGGATCATGTCGGAAGACTTGTGATCGTTGTGGTTAGTTCAAAATATAATACTTCATATCAATGATTTTTACTTGACGTTGAAATTTCGCTTTTAAGACAGAATACACCTTTGACAGCTGGCTATGGATTATGCATGTTAAAATCAGAAAAAAATGGCTGAAAGGATAGAAATCACAATTGCTGGAAAAGAAAATCTAAGTAATTGTGGAAACTTTATCAGAGCAGCAAAGGAACCTTTAATTGTTAACCGCCACCCCGGGGGGAGGGGGTGGGGGTGAATGATAATTATTTTGGGGGGGATGACATGGTTTTAGGGGGGAACAGAGGGGAGATCAGTCATCGCCAACAGGGTATTAAGGGTAGGGGGGGGTAATGGAGAATTGACTGTCAATCAATTGCCAATGAGGAAGGGGGGTTCATAAGATATTACAGGGCTCTTGGGGGAGGGAACAGGTAAATTTCATCGTGACACATTTAAATCCTCCAAAACCCACCCCCTCTCCCCTCCTTAGGCAATGAGTAAGACTGGTCTCTAAAAAGCAATTAGGTTAGTTTGAGATACAACTCGTCTATAGAATTTTTTTCTTTTTAGATCAGTGTTATGATGCTCAGAACATTGTAACTTGTGAAGACGAATTCGAGAAAGGAAACTGCGGAGACACTGAAGTGGCCCACGTCTGCAGCAAGACATGTAAAGTGCTCTCCTGTGCTCAGGTAACAGTTTCATTTCTGAATGCATCCCCTTAGAGTACCCTCCCTTAATTTTGGTTTTAGGAAGTCGTTTTCGTCTTCTTCCCCCCTCCCTGACACAAATGCTTTATTGCTTTCTCCGTACTGCTTCTCCTGTTGCTTCAGTCCAGGCAATCACTATGGGGCTATCGTTAAGCTAGCTATGCCCATTCATGAATCCGTGCGAAAAATAAAAACCTTTGTCCACCCGTCATCTACTTCTAAGATCTGAGTTAAATTATTTGACCGGATAAGTGGCTAGAAAATACTCCACGTGTGCAAGAAGGCGCAAACCTTGGTGGGAGGGAAATACTTCGATAACCTGTGCTCAGCGTTCGGTCGGTAAAACGAGCGCAATAATAAACGAAGCGATAGAAGCGGGGGAGTGAAAAAGACGAGTGAGGTTTGGTTCGAGTCGCATGGTGAACGAAGTATGAAGCAGGCTAATGCTTCAAGTTCCCTCCACAAATTTCTGCCGCTAATGGTTATTGTGTTTACAACATTTTATACAGGTACTCAGTGTGGAAAAGAAGGGTCCCCATTTTGGTCATATTCACTCCACACCCTTCACTTCAACTGCCCACCTACCCCTCCCCTAACCCAACATTAACCCTGACTTGTTATCAATTGACTGTTGTTGAGTTAGGGGAGGGGTAGGTGGGCAGTTGCCCAGATACTGATATTGATCCAGCCACTAATTAAAAGGGAATGCACTAATCGACGAATTTTTTTTTTAACACGATGATAAACTTTGATCAACAGGAAGCTACCAGCGCCAGCCAGCTACCTGATGCATAGTGGTTAAAATGAAGAGATGATGACATCAGTAACGTCTATTAATTTATCAGTCGTAAAGAAAATGTCCACTGAATCTCATTAGATAACATTTCCGAGATGTTCAACAACTTCACCCTCTCCATCTTTCCGTCGACTATAATGTAGGTATAATGTACATCTTTCGTTGAGAGACTGACCCAGTCCCGCGCTCCTATTTACAACTCGTTCTCAGTCCCCATCGTGTTTTCGAAGTGTATTTTAAAAAAACCCGTCTCTCGTCTGGCTTTTTATTTCTTTTCTTTTTTACTCAAAACGTTGTGCCTAATGTATTAGATTGAATAAAAATGTTTCCATGGGTATCAGCCGGATTGTTTTTCTTGGTTTTTTATTGTCTGTCTCGCACATATTTCATCGTTACCTTCGAAGCGGAAATAAATGATCATCGGAAACCTTATCCAGCCAAATGGCAATTCATTTATAGTGCGTGTGAAGCTGAAGCACTGCAGGGGCTAACTTGTTTTACATTTGTCAGTCACCTGTTTATACAGCCACAAGAAAATATCAACAGTTGATATTCTCTTGACAGCCAATAATTGACGTCCCCTGAAAATCAACCGGATTACACCAGCCGACCATTCCAGATGTTGTTCTGGATCCATAATGCCATCCGGGTGGTGTTGATGCATTTGCTCGCGGGCAACAGTCTTACTTTAAACAGCTGTACACAATGAAAACAATTCATTATTGAAGGATTCGAGCCTTCCCTTTCAAGTTACCGGCGCGCTAACATCACGAGAGGTGCTTGAATTAATAGAGATGGTGCCGTTTTGAAAATTCTGATGTTGCTGTAAATTTAGGGACAAGATGAACGGGTTTAACGTGAAACACTAGTCGTTTTCCCATCCTCTAAGCTTGCAATTAATTTATTTTATCAGCACGTGCACAAAACAGCTTTTTCGTTCCTTATCAAAATGGCAGCACTTGTTATTAGTTGGTTCGAAGATTGGTTTCATTTATTGGTTAAAGACGAACAGAAAAGGCTTTAAAATCTCTCTCGAAATCATTTTTAACCAGCGCGTAGCTTATAGTTTACTAAAACAAACAACAATTAAAACCTATGATAGCATGAACACTCTAACAAACGCGCAAACGTTTTCGGAATCCAAAAGTTCAATTTAGTATGGAGGTGTTAAGTTATGGATGAACAAGTTGTGTACACAAAATTTATTGAGAAGGACTACTGTGCACAGACGTCAGAAATCTAGCGGGCTTAACACAGGGTTCGCAATCGAATGGAATCCAGAACATAAGTACAGAACTCAAGTTTAAACTAAGATGGTATGGTAGATATTCAAAACCTCTGTTCTATTCAATTACTTCTTATAAGTAATGTTCTGTGTAATAATGACTTTGCTGCTCTTTGACTTAGCAGAATTTTTCGCTGACAACTTGAATCTCGATGCATTGCTTCTTTCGGGTTGCTACATAGTGCGAGAAATTTGAAGGTTTCAAAAAGTTGTTCTCACAAATATGATGTAACCATTCATGCTATTAAAAAAGATTCTGATCTAGAAAATGATGTAAAATTTGCGTTATTACAGAGACAAACACCTATTTCATTCTTCGTTTAGGATGACGATATCCTTATGCAAGAAAATATGCCTGCTACATAAAATTGAAATCACAAAATTTTTACGAAAATTTGGAAACTTTCGAAGGTTGTAATTCGAGGTTCTGCCAACAGCTGCGAACTGATGAGTTCTTTTTCGGGATATGGAAACCGTCTAATTTTGCCCACATTTCATAAAACCATTATTTTTATTGTTAATTTTTTTCTACAGACCCGAGAGACGATATCCCTCTTTTTCTTCTCAGTCATAACAACGACTGTAGCAGCAACGAACAGCGCCCTCTTCAAGATAAGAGAAAATTATTTTCGTCCCGTAGAAAACACGATTTGGGAAGGCAAGACAGCTTCTCCGCTGTCGTGTTCACAAAGGTGTGCTATTCAGCTCGGTTGTAGAAGTGCAAATTTCCTGGTAAACACAAAAAGGTGTTTACTTTCGGCTGAAAACAAGGAAAGTCTTTCCAGCACGCTGCTTCATCAAAAAGATTCTTTTTATTTAGAAAAGGTATGTCCGTTATGTAGGAGAATGAAGTGAAGTGTTCCTCGCTGCTACAAAAGTTTTCATCAGTTAGCTACTGTGTTGTGGTTTTGGCAATAAGTCATGTTATTTCAGTCTTTTAATTGAGTGTTCGATAATCGAACCATCCGCAATTTCTTGGGAAAAGCTCATGTTTGAGGGGTGAATAGGGGAGACCAAAAAACTTTTCCTAATAAATAATTTTTCAAGAGTACGCCCTCGAATTATCACCAAAAACAAAAGTTCTCGTAGTTAGGTGAAAACAAAGCTCTAAAACTTCCCATAATCCCCACCCACCCCCAAACCATCTCTACACTCGCTTCGTAGTCAACTCGTCAATGTTTTTATATTTTTTTTTTGTTTTTTTTTCCAGATCATCCTAATAACAAAGAGATCAAGACCTCGCATTAAAAGAGGTAAGTCGGTGAGTTTCTCGTTTCCATCCACGCTGCTCAAAAACAAAAGAGAGTCGTAGGGAGTCTTGGCGAGAGCGTGTAACTGAGGGGTGAGGGGTAAAGACCGAGGGGTTAGGAGTGGGAGGGGGAGTAATAGGAGTGAGGGATGGGAGGATGTGAGTATTGGCGTTAAGGGTGAGAGGGAAGGGTGGGGCGATGAAAGATTAAATTTGAGAGGACGAAAGTCTCATTTTTTTGAAAACCATATTACTTTCTTAATAAAGCTGGAAAAAAGGATAAATCAACAGGAAACCCGTGGTTAAATAAAGTCTATGTAAGAAAAGTCTCGAGTTTTCCTTTTCCCTACTTTTGTTACCTTTAATTAACAGATTTACAAGAACGTTTGAATGTTTTTTCCTTTGAAATTTTGCACGAGAATTTAGCGCATGGCCAATCAAAATTGTCCTCCTACGCATGTCTTACTTTTGAGCACTGTATTTTGTGTTTCAGGGGTGAACTCGGTTTATTTCAAAAGATTCATGACAAACATAGGATACCGTTGCGCAGAACCACGACAAATTTTCTTTTATTTTTTGCAGGGAGAACAAAATCCTCCGCTGTCCGCTCTTGTGAGTACCTCTTTGACCAAACTAGTGCACGATCTCTTCCCCCGCCCTCGGGTGTTTATTGGGTAGATCCGGTTGGTGGTTCCCAGTCAAAGGCATTTCAGGTTTACTGCGACATGGAGACTGATGGAGGAGGCTGGACTCTAGTTTGGAGTTATACGTTTACTAACTACGATGATTTTACAAGTATTACAAACGCTGTGACTCCAAGGCCCAATTGGCCAGTACACGGTTTCGATGGTATATCAACAACAGCCCCAATGAATGAAACAGATTACAACGCCATGAGCTTTTCACTCTGGAAGCAACTCGGCAGACAATTTCTTATCAAGAGCAACATAAACAACTGGCTAGTGTGTCATCCGGGAACTGGCAGCTTGGTTGATTGGCGGGAAGGCGATGTCAACTGTCGGATTGTCAAGCACGTGACAAACACGTGTAATGACGCTTTGCCGCCTTCATTTCTGCGATTTGACATAGCAAAAGGGGTGACGCTTTGCTCCAATAAGAACCCTTACTCACACATCTACTACCGCTTTGACTCCAGCGACAAAAGTGCCTGGCCTGTCCATGACCCTTGTGGAAAAGAGCGTGACAATCATGTAAAAAGTGTCCTTAATCCACACGGGAACATTTATATTCGTACCTGATAAATTCC